GCCCCCGCCTGCGCCAGGCCCCGTGGGTGCGCAGCACCCGGCAGCATGGGTGCTGGGGCCCCGAGGAGCGGCACAGCACCGGCCCCACGCCCTTCCCAGGGGAGCCTGGGCCTGGGTCTAGGCCTGGGCCTGGGTCTGGTCTTGGGCCTGGATGTGATGCTGGCCCTGGTCTTGGTCCCAGTCCTAGTCCTAGTCCTGGTTGTGGTCCAGGTCCTGGTCCCAGTTCTGGTCCTGGTCCTGGTTGCAGTCCCAGTTCTAGTCCCAGACCTAGTCCTGGTTCTGGTCCTAGACATGGTTGTGGTCCCAGTCCTGGTCCTGGTCCTAGTTCTGGTCCTGGTCCTGGTCCTAGTTCTGGTCCTGGTCCTGGTCCTAGTTCTGGTCCTGGTCCTGGTCCTAGTTCTGGTCCTGGTCCTGGTCCTAGTTCTGGTCTTAGCCCTGGGCATGGTCCTGGTCCCGATCCCAGTCCTGGTTCTGGTCCTAGACATGGTTGTGGTCCCAGTCCTGGTCCTGGTCCTGGTCCTAGTTCTGGTCTTAGCCCTGGGCATGGTCCTGGTCCCAATCCCAGTCCTAGTTCTGGTCCTGGTCTCGGTCCTGGTCCTGGATATGACCCTAGTCCTGATCTGGAATATGGTCATGGGCATTATCCCGGTCCCAGTCCTGGTCCCGGTTCTGGTCCTAGACATGGTTGTGGTCCCAGTACTGGTCCTGGTCCTGGTACTAGTCCTGGTTCTGGTCCTGGCCCCAGTCCGGTGCGCAGCACCCGGCAGCATTGGTGCTGGGGCCCCGAGGAGCGGCACAGCACCGGCCCCACGCCCTTCCCAGGGGAGCCTGGGCCTGGGTCTAGGCCTGGGCCTGGGTCTGGTCTTGGGCCTGGATGTGATGCTGGCCCTGGTCTTGGTCCCAGTCCTAGTCCTAGTCCTGGTTGTGGTCCAGGTCCTGGTCCCAGTTCTGGTCCTGGTCCTGGTTGCAGTCCCAGTTCTAGTCCCAGACCTAGTCCTGGTTCTGGTCCTAGACATGGTTGTGGTCCCAGTCCTGGTCCTAGTCCTAGTCCTGGTTCTGGTCCTGCCCCTAGTCCTAGTCCAACTTCTGGTCCCAGACATGGCCCCAGTCCTGGTCCTGGTCCTGGTCCTAGTTCTGGTCTTAGCCCTGGGCATGGTCCTGGTCCTGATCCCAGTCCTGATCCTGGTCCCAGTCCTGGTCCTGGACACGGTCACCACCTTGGTCCTGGTCCTGGTCCTGATCCTGGTCCTGGTCCTGGTCCCAGTTCTGGTCCTGATACTAGTCCTGATCCCAGTCCTGGCCTGGGATGTAGGCCTGATCCTGGTCCCCATCCCTGTGTCCCAGTGCTGGTCCTGGACGTGGTCGCAGGGTGCTCGTCCTGATCCCAGTCCTGATCCTGGGCCCAGTCCTTGTTGAGGCCCTGATACTGGTCCTGGCCCCAGTCCCAGCCTTGGTCCCCATCCTGATCCTTGTCCCAGATCTGGTCCCGATCCTGGGCCTGGGCCCAGTCCCAGTCCTGAGCTGGTCCCAGTTCAGTCCGAGTCCTGGTCCCAACCCAGCTCCTGCTCCTGGTCGTGGCCCCAGTCGGGGCTGGGTGTCCCCAGGGTGGGTGTCCCCAGGGTGGGTGTC